ATCGATTATTTAACAACGAGTTGTGGTTTGAGTTGGGGGCAATGCGACTTAAAACAGTAATTGAAATTCAGCACACTATTTTTTAAAACGCGTTGCTTGAATAAAACTGACCAGACACATTCAATTTACCAGACTTATTGAACAACTAGGAAAAGTGAAAAAAATACTTCTTATCACCAGCATAAATGCGTAATTATTTTTTTTACAGAAAAAGTAATTTTTCACCTTTGATTGAGTAACGCGTCGTAGAATGCAGATACCGGCATGCAAAATACACTTGTAAAAAGTTTGAAATCTGGCGATTCTAAAAATATATACTTTTCCGGGTCTATTTGTAGTCATTTAGTCACAATTAGAAGATGAAAACAAGTATGCAAATAATAGTCCCGCTACCTTAAATATGGTAGACTGAAAATCAAGGTCTGTTCGATAACCCCAAGATCTGATGAGCATCACCCCATTTTACTCGAAGGTGTAAATCAAGTTATTATTGTTCCTGTGAGATCTCAACATGAATTATAGTTGGATGTAGTTAGAAGCCTGTCTCTTAATTCTGTTACAGGTGTTACTAAAACCAGCTCCCTGCTAATGCTCCAGTCAATGTCAAACCCCCACCCTCCCCACCTCGGGGTTTAGTGGGGGATTTGGAAATTATTGTTGTAAAATTTGCCAAATTCCTCACCTCCTGGGGCAAGAAGGATAAGCAAATCATCACCCAAACCCTCCCTCCCCACATTTCCCCCACCCTCAACCCTGGGGGAACACCACTGTCCACCATGCATGCTATCAGCATGCTACTCAATGAACTTATACGCATTCGCAGCTAGTGATGACGGGACACAAAACACAGCTATTACCCCACCTCCACGGGCACAGTTTGGCAGTAAACCCCGCCTAATGCCCGACATTTGCCCCGTATCGCACGAGGTGGGAGAGGTCGGGTTGACATCGACTGGAGCATAAAACTGACTAAACTTACTATGCAAGTCGCATAGAAGCAACTTTCCTCTGATCAGATTTGTCAACCAATCAGAGTATGCCTTACAACTGGAATGTGGCTATAACATAAGTTCTGATTGGCTGATATTACTGCAAGGTCTGAATGTGACTTCTATTTGACCAAAGTGTTACTTAAAATTTCGCATCAGAGAACAAAATTAAAAGCGACTGGTGTCTCACATTTGAATTGAATTTATCTGAAACACAACAGCTAGACATTCATTTATGTGTATGCTTGTTCATGGGTTGACTATTGACATAAAGTCAGTCCCTAACCCCGGTACCTCTAATTGAACCACCTGTATACATGTACCAGTAATACTGTCTCTGCAGCTTTTCAATACATTGACTTGCATCATTCTTCATCATTACAGCTTTGTAGAGAACCATATCAAATGAATGGTGCAATCTGAAGAACTGATAAAAGAATAAGAAACTATAGACGTTTATCTGGCAAATCATCCATAAAATCCTATGGAATATGCATTTGTAATTTTTGTGTGCGTGTAGCTATTGTCCAGGATGAATTCTGAACTATCGGGATATCTATATCTTCAGCCCAAGGGAGGTAAGTGTTATAACTAACTTGTACCCCATTTTACCCCCCCCCCCCCCCAAACAAATTTCATGGTTTATCCACCTTACAGCAACATAGTCTTTGACATATTCTTTACAATTGTCATGGTAACCTATTTATTAATTATAGACACAATCATACCTGATAGTAATTGCATTATCGGTTATTAATAAATAAATAATATATGCAAATTAGCAAAACAAGTGTAACAGCTTAAAATTTTTTGTACTATTTTTCATTGCCATTTTTAACTTGTTTCTGAAGTGCAGTCATAGCATACATACTCATAAAGCTTTGGCTTTCCCCTTAAAACATCATGACTTACTTAGTATGATTTGTAAAAACAACACACATCATGACTTACTTAGTATGATTTGTAAAAACAACACACATCATGACTTACTTAGTATGATTTGTAAAAACAACACACATCATGACTTACTTAGTATGATTTGTAAAAACAACACACATCATGACTTACTTAGTATGATTTGTAAAAACAACACACATCATGACTTACTTAGTATGATTTGTAAAAACAACACACATCATGACTTACTTAGTATGATTTGTAAAAACAACACACATCATGACTTACTTAGTATGATTTGTAAAAACAACACACATCATGACTTACTTAGTATGATTTGTAAAAACAACACACATCATGACTTACTTAGTATGATTTGTAAAAACAACACACATCATGACTTACTTAGTATGATTTGTAAAAACAACACACATCATGACTTACTTAGTATGATTTGTAAAAACAACACACATCATGACTTACTTAGTATGATTTGTAAAAACAACACACATCATGACTTACTTAGTATGATTTGTAAAAACAACACACATCATGACTTACTTAGTATGATTTGTAAAAACAACACACATCATGACTTACTTAGTATGATTTGTAAAAACAACACACATCAGTGGACTTTGCATGGTCGCCTAATTAAACCTTTTACTTTTCTTTATTCTCACAATTATGTGAGGAATTAATTCTTCGTTTAATAGTCTTTATTTTTGTTCTCAGCCTTGAGTCGATTAAAACGACGACAAGTATGGTTTGTGTTTGACGATAGCACTTGTCATCTGTTTTACTATAAAACAGATCAAGATATGGAATTCAACCACCTTCCGATTGGTTCAATTAATATTAGGAAAGCTGGATTGTCACTGCATATGGATCAACACCATCAGTTCTGCATTAGGTAATTATTACCACATCCGCATAGAGTGGATATGTAGGCCAAAAAAGGTTTGGTTTTATCCAGAGAGAACTAACAAATAATGCGATAATACGGTTTTTATTTTTTTTAATATATGTATTAAGATTATTTAGTACAACATGATATATATTCAACATTTAGCATTTATTGAATAATAAATTTGAATACTGTAAAATGACTAATTTTCACTGGGTTTAAATTTTGCTGATTTATCATTTCTAAATCTCTAATTTAGCCCCCCCCCCCCCTCTAAGAGTGAAAAGCATTAAAATGGTTTTTGGCATCACGAAATGTTGAAAAATTACAGTTAATCAAAAAAAATGTTTGTATTTGTACATGATAACAAAAATACAGTATACAGTAATATGCATTGGTTTAAATTTTGCTGATAACGAAAAGTAGTTTCAAAAAGAGTTTCAAAAACAAACATGAATGCATTCCTTAGTAGCAAATGATCAGTGTGTCTATAGTGCAATCCGGTCATGCTGTGTTTCATGCTTGTTTCCGAAGTGTTGCAATTGTCAATGACCCTCAGTAGTGATTATAATAACGTACAACAAATTTGTTGTATTGTTATGAAATGCAACTAAAATTCAACTTTGTTTGATGCGATACGATATCTGCCATGTTTTTTCCATGTGATCTGATAGGTCAAGTCACTAATTAACCAATCAGAATGCTGGATGGTGCCAACGTGTTTAAATTACCATTATAGCATTTAAATATGTTGCTGAGCCACAATAAACATCAGTGACTCCGAAAAATGTAAATTAGGTTCTAATTTAGGCGTCAGAAAAGTTTAATATGTTCGAAAAGTGACGCCTGAATTAAAGATTTTACTGTAGTCATCTTTCAGGCTGGTGTTGTACATAAAAGTGAATATTATTATTTTTATTTTACAGTAGTGAAAACAGAGATCATATAATTACAGCTGATAGCCATGATAGTATGATGCATTGGCTCAACGCATTACAGGTGGGTGTCATTTTTACTGGGCAAGGTTGTGATAGTTGTGCTATGTTTAGTGGACTAGCTGTACATGCATGTATATCATATATACTGTAGAATACTTTATTTTCGCTTGGAATTTATTTTCACTATTTTCGCTGAAGGAATGATTCAGTGAAAATATAATCCAGCGAATATACCTTTTTTCCCATATTTTACATTTAACTTGTCAAAAAGCAGTGAAAATAAATTCCATACAAAACACCCAAAAAGTCTTTTCAGCGAAAATTAATTACAGCTAAAATAAAGTATTTTACAGTATTTAACCTCATTTTTCATCGCTTGCTGAAATAAATGAATAAATGGGGAAAAATTGCATCAACAGACGTGATTTGTGTCAAAGTACTTTTTTTACGTTGACACTAGTAGACAATTGTGATTGCCTGTGTACTACAAGGCATTATAAGGATATTGACTTTAAAAAAAGTTGTGGATCACCAGCTTAATTTTCGAGAAAATTATGATTGTATTTTAGTAAATAGTTGTCAACGCTTTTACCATGGGATCCTGTGGCAGAAATATATTATGCCATATCTTAAATTGTAGTCAGGTGACATAGGATGAAATATATATATACTGTAGAATACTTTATTTTCGCTTGGAATTTATTTTCGCTGAAGGGATGATTCCGTGAAAATAAAATCCAGCGAATATACTTTTTTTCCTATATTTCACATTAAACTCATCAAAAATCAGTGAAAATAAATTCCATACAAAATGCCCAAAAAGCCTTTTCAGCGAAAATTAATTCCAACGAAAATAAAATATTCCACAGTATATTATGAATGATTCGGTTGTTTTTGTTGTGCTTAATTATTTCAATAATCTGGGTTTTAAAAAATGTCAAAAAATGCAAATTTTCTTTCATATATACTCTATGGAATTGTAAAAATAGTGATTTTTGAAAAATATTAGGACAACCTTTCTCAAAATACGTCACTGTAACACACAAAAGAATGCTATTACATGTGCTTTATGATTTTACATAATAGACCAGTGAACACTGTCATGAGATTTATGACCAACTTTTTCAAAAATTATGAGTAGGCTTGTATTTACACGACTGTCTTAAAATTATTACGATATGTCCTTTTTTCAATCAGATTAAAATCTGATGTAGTAGGTGACACTGTTGGCTTTTTATACCTGGTCACTGTTTCATGGTCACCAGGTGGCATCTTCTCTAACTACATCAGACCAATTACCTATGCCAGTTGTGTTCAGAGCTCCCAAGATATGATCTCGATTCGAACAAATGTTACATACCACTTTCTCGAATAAAAATTCCATCAGAGCAAAGACGCTTGAATAAACATTTGTCGGTAGTTGGTTGGTTAGATGTCTTGGTGATGCCACCCATGAGCAAGATTAAACGTGACAGGATTATTGCCTCCAAATCTACCCATATTTTAATAAAGAGAAGAATGTTTCTTTCAGCTTAAAAGAGATGCTTTTGCTGATAAACATTCAGTGCAGTGTTTTAATGAAGAACAGTACAGAAAACATCAAACCAAAACCAAGGTATGTCTGCCTGTCTCATCCACCTTTCTGAAATTTTGTTCTTTGACATATCTTGTCTTGTTTTCACGTGTCCTTGTTGGTCATTCCTTCATTGTCTACTTATAGACGTCTAAACTGAGTGAAGGAGTAGAGGAAGCGGAAGAAGCAAAATCAGATGACAACGGTGAAAAAGTTGGTAAGTACGAAGAAAGTATGAAGCTTAGCTTAATCCTCTTCACTCCAAAGTATGAAGCATGCATAGTCAAATGTTCAAATAGAGCACTGAATTTTGTTTGAATACTATGCACATTATGTATTGTTTTAGCTATGCAAATTGTATGTCGTTTGAACTATGCAAATCACAAACTAATATAATTCTCTTTATTTATTTTAATAAATCTGCTTTAGAAACAACAAGTTGTCATAGCAACTCGCTAAGAGTTGTCAGTACATCACACCATGGAAGCATTTCGTCATTTACAGATATAAGGTACATGTCACAAAGCGTTACTAAGTCCAAAATCAGAAAACGTACTCTTTTTTTTTTAGTGATATTTTTTTTCAAATTAAGCTTTCATTTGTCAATATTAAAAGGTATTATTATATATCTGTCACCGTAACACCATAAGTTACAGTGTGCCGTAATTTTGTGATATTTTACGGGGTATTTTCATCCTCCCATATAAGGAAATGCTTATTTTAAATATGGTAAACTGATGGTGAAAAGGTTAAAGGTTAACAAAGGTTAACAACGTACAGTTGGTGCGAGTTACTTCACTTGGATATAACCTAATTTTCCTTCAGTATATGTATTTTGCATCTGAGATAGTCATCAGCATGAATCCAGTAACTCTATAATATTTCAAGTTTAATCATCTTCTTTTTTCCCCCCATAGCTCAGAAAGTTCATTTGAAATTGAAAGTCATGCTGCGAATGGGCTTGACAATCTGTCAATATCCTCAACTGAGGGAAACAGCGCCCCCATAGGGTCACTGAGGGAATTGCAAGCCGAGTTAGAGTATGTATTAATTTTTTTTTACTAATAATTTTATGAATTACAAGAAATATTTGAACACCCACCCTCCTCTTGATGTGTTGAATTACTACGAGTCGTAGTATTTTGAATTATTAAATGTGCATGAAAAATGTTATTTTTAATATGTTGCAAACATTTGGACAAATATCATTGAACTATGAATAAGCCTTTTTGAAGACTCCTATTTTAGGATTTTATACCATCCAAGTTGTGGCAAACATGTAATAATCTGGAAACGTAACTTTCAATGTGTTACAATACAGGAAGACAAAGAAGGAATTAAAGAGGCTGCAAAAACGTGAAGAGGCTTACAAGGAGTTACTTGCATCACGAGAAGAAGTCATTATCGAGTTAAATGACAAAGTAGAACAATTGGGTCATAAAAATAGGTAAAATGTACCTTTTTATATTTCACAAATTTTTTTGGTACTAAACAAGAAAACAAAAGGAGACACAATAAGTGATATGTCATGTCATGTGAGCTATATTTATGACAATAGACGAAAATGAGTTGTTTTTCGAACAACAAATAACCATTCTCACAGACGGACCGGATCAGGAAGTCAGTAGAAGACAAAAAGATTTTTTGTTAGCTTGGGGGAAAACAGAGGTGTTAATCTGGAAATTCATTGTCTTTTCCTGTTTGTGATTGATCCTGGCAACGTTTGGGGGATCATGACGTAGCTCCGACTGTGAGAATTCAGCTGCATAGCTATATACATACTTGTGTATCCAAAAATATTAGTATTAGAACATTGTACTGATATTTACAGAATTAATTTCTTCAATTGACCCAAGTGATGAAATACAATACAAATATCATGTAAAATATCAGTATTGTATTTTTGCCGGTGTATGTATACTTATAAAATCTTAATTTTGCTCTGTCTTTATTATTTTCCTTCATCCTCTTCATCAGCTGTATACTGTGTGTATGATATATACCGGTACATTTGGGTTGGCGGCCGATTACAGTATATTTGAATAATTTAAATTAAACTTGTGTTTTACGCATATGTTAATTAATACCCGTATGTACTCAGTTTGAACTACAAAGGATAAGTTAGCTCTGTATTATGTGGATTAAAATAAAAAAACTTAAATTTATGTTAGCAAATGCACTACAAATAGAGCAAATACAGCATGGCTCTGAGAAAAAGAAAACTCTTTATAATTTGTGGTCAGTTTGTGACATGTTTAAAACTGTCACATGTCCAGAAACATGAATATTCTATATGCCTAACAATATATGATTTGTGTTACAGTTTTGGATCCAATTCAGAGGCTGGGGCATATTGTCAGAAGTTACATGATCAGAATACTTTCCTAAATAACGAAATTCAGCGGTTGACGAAACACAAACAAAAGGATCGAACAAAGCTTGTAAACAAACATAGGTATGCCTGGAATGAGTTTATTAAAAAAAAGCCTTTGCTCGTGCTTTCTATTGAACAATTTTTTGTAGGGGTTTAGTAGTGTTTACTAACAATAGTATGAGGAAACTCGCCAGCATAACAAAAATGGTGGGAAGCTTTTGGTGAATGCACTTTCTCAATCATAAGAATAATCATGATGTATTTGTTTAATGATCTCACCTTCACAAAAATGCAATCAAGGAGTGGTACTAAAACTTAAAAGATAGATTAAATGTAAGATAATAACTTATACAATCTGTAATCACTTACGATGCACGTCAAAATAGTAATACTTTCCCTCAATTAGTAGTCTATCTGATACAGGGAATTTCCAGGTGGCTGCTTTATGAAGCATGCCCTCAACAGGTGGCTCTCTACAATCTTTTGTTTATGATCTATATAGTTGCTGTGCACATCCTTGTTTGAGAAGGCAAATTCATATTAAATATTGATAATTTATGTTTTTTTATTTCCATGATAAGAAGTTCTGGGGAACTACTATATGTGCTCTGTTATGAGTAAATCTTGAATAGAAGTGAATATAAGCTAAAATTGCATTAATCTGGTTGAGTAAAAATACCATAAACACGATTCTGTTATTTATGTAAGCATATACGCTATTAACTGTAAGTTCATAGCTGCTGTTGATATTGGAAGTAAGGCTAAAATTTGTTTCTGGTCCTAGGATTTTTCAAAACATAATGCAGTGATGCATTAATGTTTGTGCTGTTTTTTCTTTCATGTTTACAGTATTTTGGCTGTAACAAAAAAAGAAAGTGAGTGGCCTCATTTGAATTAATGCACACGCTGACCTGAAACCAATCTCTTTATTTTAGCCTAAAGCTGTATTTATGTCCACTTCCTGTTCAGTTTTAGACTGGTTTCGCAATATCTAGGTTATTAGTCGCTGTTTTCAGACTAGTGTCTTGACATCCATGTGTATGTCTGTGTGTCTCACCTGTATCTTAGAGATCACTGAAATGATCACATTTGGTATACATAATAATAAAAATATGTTTATTTTGTACTGTGGCCATTGGCCTTATGTACAGATACAAATAAATACATAATAAATTAGATTTTGTATACATATGTGAATCTTATTTGTTTTATGATACAATTCAATATGGCCGAATGGTGGTCATTTTAATGTTCAAAAATCAAGCATGTCTGCAATCCCAGATTTCGGTTATGCATGGATAGATTTTGTTGACATTGAACATTATGCATGACATTTTGTTTCCCAAATCAGATTCAGAAATGGCCGACTAATGGCCATTTGGTTTAAATGAATGCACTTCTGGAGCCATAACTCTGACATGATTTGACCGTTCATATTCAAACTTATTTCATAAACTTGATAACTCACAGGAACTATGTATATGATTTTTTTAGGAATCTTCAGGAAGTTGAAGCTGAGAATAAAAAACTAAAAAGAGATTATGTATCTTTACTACAAAGTTGTATAACTTTATCATCAATAGAAGCGCCATGTGACTTACAACAAAAGGTGTTCGGAAACCGAGTAAGACAGTTTTGTATATTGTGAATACAAATGAATTCAGATACTAGTACTTTTCTAATTTAATTAAAACTTTTAATTAAATCTAATAAAGCTTTAGACTGCTTGTTCCCTTAAATTGTTTATATAGATTCGAAATATTTCTGTTTGTGAGCTAGGAAGTTTTCCGTTGTTGAGTTAGGCATATTTTTTTAGTGAGTCAGGTTTCTGTTCAATGGTTAGTTAGGCAGGTATCTGTTGTGGAGTTAGGCATGTTTCTTTTGCTGAGTTTACCAAGGAATTATTTATAGTTTCTATATTTTTCATTATCAGCATTTACAAAGAATATCACAATTAATTGAAGAATGTCGACAGACAGATCCTAAACTGCCGGATGCAAGGTTGTTAATTTCATTCTCTTCATTTTAATATTGTATGGATAATTAATATGCATGCATCTCATTAACTTCCATTATTACAGCAATATCTCAATATCATGTATATTCAATTATTTATATATCTATATAATTATAAATTTAAAATGACACAGCTCATGCTGCAGCACATCATAAAGGGATGGAATAACTTGTATCATTTGGGCACTTGAACAGAATGAAGGCTAGACTGTCACAGTGTAAAGCATTCTTATCGCAATTGAGAGGGCCACCCACAGAACTCACACTGGACAGGGGGGTTCTTTCACTGCTAGAATAGGGTAGACAAGACAATAGTACTGGAAATGAAATTCACATATACCAAAATATGGAGTTAAAGCTCCTGGCTTTAATAGCTATCAAAATAATTACAAGAAACAAAGCACAGAAAAATATAAATTACACTAAAATTGCCTAGAGAATTGTGCATTGGTGATAACTCACAGTACCAGGATGTAGAAATGGGTGACAGTCAATGGCTTCGGCAACACAACAATGAAGAAATACAGGAGTCTTGCTTGCAGAGGAACGCTGGTATTCTGAATTCAATCATCTCGTTTGGATAAATTGGATTTGAATAAGACTGCTGTAAACTGAAAATAGTTTTGTTGTTAAATTTATACAAATGTTGATTTGTGTTCTTGTCAGTATTCTCAAGAGCGAACATCCAAGCATTTTCATCGCCTGCAATCACAACCGCGAAAAACTATGGTCAAAAACCCTTGGCTAGTTTTTGAAATTTTACTGAACAGTGTAACGAGACTACCCCTACATGTGCAACTCAAATAAATTTGGTTAATTAGGGATTGTCTCATAGTTGAGTTTGTGCTTCAACTCGCCAGACATTTAGCTGTTTTCTTTACTTTTAGTTATTGAACGACGTTCGACAGCAGCTTGCATATAGCTCATAGAAATACATGGTACAGTGGGGTGTGTCTTAGCAACGTAGAACGCTCTGTGATGTAGCTCTGCCCTCGAGAATTTGTAAAATCATAGCTCGTTTCTGTTAATACCTGTCATTACTTTTAATAGAAAAAGAAAATTCACTGCATTACCTAACTAAAATCAATATGTAAATTCAGAGTTTCCTAGAATCTATACAAGTATCCAATAAAATTAATATTTTAGTGAGTTAAATTCCATGTTTGTGTCTGGCAGTAGAGGCATCAAATGCGGTATACGCTTCCTTTGTTCAAAAAGTTGTCCATTTCTTTCAGTTATAATATTTCTAGAATGCATGCTTACCTCATGCTCAGTAGAATTTTTAATCAAAACAAATTACAAAAAAAAAAGTTTTCTATTTTTCTCATCAAAATGCTTTATGTTTACTCTAATCTTTCATTTCTCGGAAGGACTTTATTTAATACCGAACATATTGATCAGTACGGGTTTATTCATCCGCCAAAGCATCAAGCATTATTCATACACTATGTGTGTCAGTTACTGTATCAGCATTATTCTATGGATATCTTGGTAAGTGACAACAAACCTCACTGTCTATTAACATCTGTAGGAACATGCACAGTATGTGCAATCAGAACTTTGCATTTTGGGTAAAATTCAGTAAATTTAAGATGAATGACACAAAATCTTGGACTTTTCATCAGCTGTAAATGATAACTAAGCTACGACAAAAAAGTAAATTCAATTTTTTTCAGATTATATGATTTATTTTCATTATGTTAATTTTATTTTTTAGGAGAAAGCTGAATATCACAAACGCTGGGATAATTTCATGGTAAACCACAGAAAGAATTTCCATGAAATGGTAAGTGAGTTACTAACTATTTTAAATTTGCATAATGTGAATGCATGAGTCTAATATGAAATACTCAACAACTAGTCAAAATGACTTATCACATTATTTGGCAATTTTTTTTTCAGCCTGAATTACGGGAGTTAATATTACTAGGTATACCTGACGAATACCGAGCGGTCATTTGGACGCAGTTAGCGATAAACCACGTACAGGATATCAAGGCAATTAAGGTGAGTGCAACAATCATTGTGATTCATATCACATATCATGGTTTGTTTTGATTTGACCATTCATTTATTCTTAAGATACATTGCCATTCACAACTCAAAACACGTCTCATTGCTTCACCAATTAAATTCTTTCTTTCAGGAAAGTTGACCAATCACTGTTTCTCTTTCATATCTTCACAATACTTAGCCAATCACAACCTATAACATGCCACATTGATTACCCAATTACATCTTTTCTTTTAGAAAAGTTTATAATTTGACCAATCACAGGTTTTCTTTCATATCTCTGTTTTCCACAGGGGGATAACTACTATAAATCCTTGCTAGCACAGATACCAGGTAATTTACATATCAAATCCTACCAAAGACAGATAGAACTTGATTTACTGAGAACTATGCCGCAGAATATCCATTTTAAAGATGGAAATTGTGAAAAAGTAAGTCTACATGTTCACTGTTTCACATGGGACCATTATGTCCTTTTTTATTTCCCCACTCTGCAGTTTGTATGATAAGACCCTAACCTTTCAATGTAATGTAACCATTTAAACACATGTGACTTCATACTACTGTATTTAACTTAATGTATGAGTGGAAATGAATTTGATGCATAGATGTAAAACAGTTATTTTACCTCTAGCAGCAAAAACAATAGATTTAAGCAATCTGTACTCGCATGTTAAAATTTGTACATTTGACTTCCTTATTTTAAAAATATTCATTGCATTTTAATGTGTCACATCCATAAGTAATCAATATACCGTACGTTGAAATAGCTGCATGGTATTTTAGCAAATTTTACCCAATGCATGAATTAACATCTCATTGTCAGAATGCACTTTATTTTAAATTAGCGACATCTTGAATAAATGAGATTATAGGTTGGCTGAATCATGAATTAGCTAAATTAGCTAAAATAACATGTTATCTAAAAATTCATGTATACATTTAATGTTTTTATTTATTATCCTTAAATATGGTTAATGTTAATATTTTTGGTCAATATTAGTTACACAACTGTTTGATGAATGTTGATAATGGTCTCTCCTAGATTATTTCTTGCTTCTGATATCATTTTGTGTGGTACTGGCCTTTGTTGTTATAACATTCAAAAAATCTTATTGGATGGGTGATACTTTTAGTTATGCTCGTTACTCTACTGGAAGCAGATTTTGATTTAACTTGAAAAGTTTCAACTTTAATACTGTCTTGTTATTTTTTCTTGTAATAATGAAACAGTTATTGGCATCGGTCGATATCAAGATTTATTGAAGTTGTTCCCTCGTGGACGGTTATTGGTCTCAGTCTCTGACTTAGGCCAATAACCACCACTTGTAGGATGGAAATTCTTGATATTGGTCACAGACAAGACCATTTTTTATATTTTTCTCATGTCAGGTTAATCAACTGCGTGAAGTTCTAGAAGCATACTGTATACATAACCCTGACATTGGATATTGTCAAGGGCTGAACTTTAGTGTTGGCACATGTCTACTTTATATGGAAGCTGAACAAGCCTTTTGGTGAGTCTTGAAAATCTTGCTCTTAATGGAGGAAATTTCATCGTCAAATGTCGGCCATCTTGTAATATTTTACCCTTTTCACCACCAGAATTTCTTGTCCAAATTTTTCTGCTATTTTTTCTTATATTCTTTAATATTTCTTGAAATAATCCCTAATTTTGTATCCAACAGACAAAATTTAAGTCGATTTTCAGTTTTTACTCAAAAAATTTTGGCTATTTTTGTCCCAGTCTTCTGAAGGAAAGTGCAGACTATGAACGGGAATTTTTTTGGATTTTGTGATGAAAAGAGGGAACTGGTGGTGAAATACCGTTCATTTTTAACTATTTCTTTTTTCATTACAAGGTGCCTCGTCGCGTTTGTTGATCGTTACTTCTCATCTGGATACTTCGATCGTTTTTTAGTCGGTGCTCAAGCTGATCAAGCTGTCCTCCAGGAATTGATCGCTCAAAAACTTCCCGTTTTGTATGAACATTTTAAGCAACTTGATATAGAAATATCCACCATTACACTTACCTGGTTTCTGGCGATCTTTTTTGACAGTGTGCCTTTTGAGGTAAGCATGCAAAGGTGTTTCACAGCAACGAACAATGTCTGGTGACGTCTAACTAAACTACGAATATTAAAACCATGTTTAGCATTCACTGCCTGTCATTCACTTCACTTAGAGCTCCATGCTACACACAACCCCTGAAAATAACTTACTGAACCAACCAACACTGTTCTGTACACATGCAGTAGAGGGGGAATATGTTCAAAGATATTATACATTTCAAAAAAATTTCTGATTATAGAGAAAATATAAAAACTAAGCAGAGCATCATGGGTATTTTCTGAGTAACTACATACAAACTACAAAATGACGATTGACTTAGCCGCTTTGAAATCACCTTCCATCAACCCTTCAACATAAACTTCTACAATTTATAACATGCATAATGCAAAGTAAACACCTTCATTCACAATGTTATAATTTCGGTGTATTTGAAGACTAAATTTTGTTGTCACTATTAAAATGAGAAATTTGTTCATGTTGGAGCATAATTCTATGCCCAGAGACAGGCAGAGAGTTTCACATTTTGTTCTGTTTTTGGAGTAACTTCCTGTTTTATGTGACTTTTTCTGTTGTTACATATGCATGAACATATCACCTTGTCTGTACGAGTATAAAGTTTTGTGTTCATTGGTGGAAAGTCAGTTGATGAACATATTGCGGGGTGTGCGATGATTGGAGTTACACTGCCTTTAAAGTCTCAACAGAGAATTTTGATTTTTAACAACTCATATATTCAGTCTAGTAGCACTGGGGTGTTGAAAGTTTTCTATAACATAAAAAGCTGTTGCCTTGAGAGCGAGAATTGTTAAATAAATATAGCTAATTCACGGAGCAAGTTTAATATGTAATTTTTTATTTCAGACATTACTCAGGATC